CGAAGTTTAGAGTTGCTTCTGTTGGCCACGAAGACCGCAGCTCAACCAGACATTCATAGCTTCACCTCGATCTTGAATGCTGCCAGCCGGGCTGACGCGTGGCAACTAGCTCTGGACGTGTTGCAGGAATTCTGCTTGGCAAAGCTATCAGCTGATGAAAGGATATATAACATCGCAGCGAGCAGTTGCAAGGCAAATTGGCTTGTAGCAATACATTTGTTAGAGGACATGATGGTATTGGGGCTCCAGCCAGATGCCATCACATACAGTACTTTGACCACCTCTGTTGGTGCTTGCTGCCATGACACTGCTTGGCTCCGTGCTTTGGAATTGTTCAGCTCTGGAAAGTGTACCACCGAGATGGACATCACAAACATTGGTGCTGTGATTGGAGCCCTTGGTGAGGCTTGTTGGCAAGGCAGCACTCATCGCCACACTTTCAAAGGAAAATTGAGGTGAGACGTCCGGTCCTAGTATTTGTCCTGAGAAGCCTGCATGAGCTATCCCTGAGGTGCTTTGCAGCTGCTCTCAGAGCTGTCTGCGTGGACCTTGGAGCCAAACCGTATCGTGTATAACGCAGCCCTCTCCGCGCTGAGCCAAGCCTTCCACTGGTCCAAGGCCATCAGGTGGCTGAATGGTGCCAGCGAGGTTCTCGGAAGTGGACAGCAAAGTTTTGTGTTTTATCACGAAAGGTAGCCCTTCAGGGGATACCTTGAGTTTGTCTTGCGAAGCAAGTGTGGGCTCCTCCAGATCTAAAATTGATAGTTCAATTCAACCCCCCCCCCCCCCCTTGGAATTGATTTTTAATTAGAACCCCCCCCCCTCTGACCGCTTCATCCCGAAGTGGATCACCTCGACACCTCTTATTTGGTGTCCCTCTGACCGCTTCATCCCGAAGTGGATCCCTCGATGGTGACTTGGTGTTGAGCACTCGAAGCTTGGGGCAGTGTTTGAATCCATGCAGAGACATGATATGCTGCTTTTTAGTGCTTCTTGTCGTTGAGGATTATCATATAACTACTGTATATATATATATATGTTATGTATATATCAAACTTTGGTCTTTTCCCCCATTCTCAAGTTGACGTTTGATTCGACTCACCCAACAACACACTGCATATTTTACATGCTTATTTTCCTCCCGCTGTCCTACCTTTCGTGTATCCCTCTTCTCAAGTTGCTCTTGCCCTTGGGGATGCGATGCCTCCTGAGACGGGTGAGTGCTGGCCTCCTACTCATTGGGATGGGCCCATCGCGAGGTGCCATGGAGGGAGGTGATGACACAGGTTACGTGCATCGGACACAGCTACCAATCAAGTCCCCTATGCAAGGTTTAAATGATGTCCTGTATGCGTTTGCCCAAGGGATGTCAGTTCCAACCTCATTGCTCGACAAGGTCAGTATTTCCTTGGCATGCTCCGCCTTGGGGCAAGCTGAGCGCTGGAGCCCCTCACTCGCACTGCTGAACCAGTTGCCGCAGAAGAGGCTTCCCGAGGAAACGGTGAGCCCTGGAATGGGAGGAGAAGCGTGATGGTGGGTATTGCGACAGTGTCCAGGGCTAACGTGGTCAGTGCTGTTGCATTTCATAAAGTCAAGACCTATATATATATATAGCCTGTAGACATATTTGACCAGACTTACCCAAATTGATAGCATATGCGCACCTTATTGTTTTCTATGTGTGCTGTGGCCCTAATAATGCCGGCCAATGGCTAATGTGTAAAATATTGTAATATATATACACGTGAGGTCAGCAACCACTTGTGTTGTTATTAGACATTCCATTTCCAGAGAAGCAGGCTTGATGAACAACATCCCACTAGTGGTGCCAGGGAGGCAATGGACCTCGTCATGTTTCCCAACCCGCGTCCTCTTGCATGTTGCAGCCCTTGCAAATCGTGCAATGTCATGCAAAAATCTCAAAGCAGAAGAACTCAAAAATAGCTAACATGCACTTTCCACCAACCAAGCGGCCGGCCTGATACCCCTCATATGCCAGGTTAGAGATGAACACAATCATTGGCAACAGTTGCTTGTCATCGCTCAGCTCCTGGACATGGCGTTGGTCTTGTAGCAAGGTCTTGGTTCAAATCAAGCAAAGGAACATCAGAGTGGACACGGTCCCTTGGCATTTGACCTTGTAACCTGTAACCTTGTATGCAGAGCTACAATGGTCAGCTTATATATATCTCTCTCTCTCTCTCTTAAGATGCCTTAAGTTGAACATGTGCGCTTTGTCCTCGCAGAGCAAGAGTGATGCAGCAAGGGTGACTTTTCCAGCTGCTTTACCGTTTTTGTTGAGAAATCGCATCCTGCACTCAATTGCGTGCTATGCTGCAGCAAGTCAGGGGTCAACACCAGAGGTCCCAAGTCATTTACCGGGTGTTAGACTGTTAGACATTGCTGCGCTCTGGTGTGTGCATGTTCATTTGGACTAGGTCACGCAGAATGCCCTTCTCTCGTGGAAGTGGGGTGAGTGGACATGTGCGATCAAATTTCTGCAGCAGATGATGCAACAAGATGTTCCAGCAGACCAGCGTCGTGGCTAAACAGACCCTGTTGGCGGCCTTGCTTCCATGCAGAGGCGGTTGGAAACCTTCCTTCACTGCAAGATGGGTTCGGTAGAAATAGCACCATCGAGCATGTGATTCTATTTTCCGTGCTGCTTTACGCCCAGGTGCTCCTGGAATGCCTTGCTTAGCCTTTTTGATAAAGCTCTCCAGTGACAACATGTTCTTGAGCAAATTGCCAGGGCAAAGGTTGTTGCAGGAGGTGCGCGTCGGTGTCGGTGTTCATCAAAATGCGATGAAGGCCTCCTCCTTAGACTAAGTACTACGCCCAACCAGTTTTGAATTACTTTTCCCCTACGGAATGTTGTGGCGGGCGCGGAAGTCAAGAACTGAACCATTTTGAGACATTTGTGTCTCTGCGTCACTCAACAGCGCATTGGGTTGGGTGGCAAAAAGTGGAGACTCATCGAATGATCCGATTGGTCATGTTGTTTTCTGCATCCCAACACAGCTGAATTCAAGTGCCTGCTGTGCCCGCCTGAAAGTTCAATGCTGTGCTGACTGCAGGCTGCCTGTTGGACGAGGTTGCCTCCTCCGCCGCTGGACTGAATCCAGGGAGCATCCATTTGGACAAACTGGAACGTACCCCAACACCGCCCACTGTGCACAACACTAAGTTCAGAACATGGAGCATTTTAGATCTTATAAGTGTGGGGCTTGATTCCTGAGCGTTGTCACTGGTGTGGACTCTGCGTTGCCAGATGAGGCGGCAATCAGTGCGTGTGATAAGGGCCGGAAGTGGACCGTCGCGCTGTCAATTTTTTCTTTCTTCCAACGCTCCTAGCCTTGGAATGTTGAGCTCACTTGTGTGAATTTCAGCTGTTGTAGCCAGGGTGTATTGCGTACAGTTGATGCACCGTCGCTGCTGTTTCGGCTGAACAGGGCCCTTGAGCTGATTCGCTGCTGCGAAAAGGAACTGTGCGAGATTCAAACTTGTCAATTCACCCTAGGCGGTAGATTGCTCTTTTTCCTTTCTTTCGCCCGAACTCAGGGGCAAGAGTGCCTCAGAGCCAGTTCAGCTATAGTGCCCTGGTCAGTGCCAGTGGCCCGGCGAAATCTGCAGTCCAGTGGGCTTGCCTGCTGGTTTTCTAGATGGGAGTCATGCGGTGCTTGAGGTGAAGTCCGGTGGCGATGGGCCATTTCCTTGTGGAACAGATGGTGCTTCGCCAGGAGCTAAGGCTAAGTCCCAAAGAGGCATTGCTGCGGGACAAGTCATGGCAGTCAAAGGCGCCTTGTCTTTCATTTGCTACTGGCTAAGGCGTCTTATTTTGTACTGGCTAAGGCATCACCACCTGCGACCAACTCTTTACTTCGCTCTTTGGCACTGGCTCAGTCGTGGTCAGCTGCGTGTTGGATGCTCTCGCAGGAAGGTGGGGATGCAACATCCTTAAATGCAGCCATTTGTGCCTGTGACCTGGCCTTCTATTTCAGTAATGCCATGTACGAATTTCGTTCTTTGGCATGGGTTGGGAGCTTTGCTCTGTCAGCCGAGGTGATGACGCCGGACACCTTGAAGTGATTCCAGCCTTCTTGTCCTTCATCTCACAACTTCCAGATGGGCTGAGGGCGTAGGGCACTTTTCCAGTCTCGACGTGCAGAGCGGGAGCTCGTGCAGGCGGCCCCGCGCTTTGGTGTCTGTGTTTGCTTTGCTTGATCTGGGCTTTGACTACGCCACACCTTCTTTTGCCATTGCCATGTGCAATAGCTGGAGTGCAGAAGATCATGGGCACCTCACAGCTCCAAGCTGCTCCAACTACGAGGCTGACTCGAAAGTTTCCTCAGGATTTGCACACTGCAGAAGCAGCACAAGAAGAACGTCATTTGGGCTGAGAAGAGCCGGAACTTTGCACACCAGGTAGGAGACGAGCTGGGGCAATCCTCCAACAGCATGGTGTATGGTTGCCACTGCCCCAGGTCGCAGGAGGGAATTTGACAAGAGAGACTTTCCTCGACTTCTTTGGCCAGACAGGGCCATTCTGGAAGACATTGAATCAGAATCAGAATCATTACTTCTGGCAACCGGGCGGACAGTGCCAAAAGAATGCGCCTGGGGAGTTTCACTGAGGGCAACGGGTTTTGGTTTAGTCACATCTCTTTTGCGCATGTGTGCAGGCGTGCTCAATTCACTTTTTTCAACCGAGCTCGGGTTGGCAGGTTCGCTGTCACAGCCCCGTGCAGGGATACCCAGCCAGCTGTCATCCTTTCTGAAGGTGTGAATGGATCAACGCGCCTGATGAGAGTTGAATCGTTTTGATGAAGTGTTTGATCCTGGATGTTATGGTATTTTTGATTTATTTTTGCTTGACATGCGTTGATTGTGCAATTCGGGGCCGCTAGGCCGAACAGTCCATCCTGCAAAGACAATCTAGTATCGGAACAAGTATATAGTTATGTCACACATGTCATGTGTATGTCGCAATTTTGCAATTCTCCAATTGCATCTAGTGTTTTGTACCTTTCTTGCTTTTTCAAGCCCTTCACTTTCTGACTTTCCGAGGGCGCATTTGCTCCTTTGCAGGAGATTCGCAAAGAACTAGAAGCGCTGCTCGGCCTCATTAGTGCTGGTGAAATGGGCAACAGCAGAGGTTTATACAACTATCTCGCTTGCAACAAGTTTGCTTTGAACAAGTGAGTATGGAACGAGGGCTAAGTAGCATCTGGCTTCATCACAGTTCATTGTGGGCTTGCTTGCTGGAAGGTGTGCGCCTCTGCCTGCTCCAATTCAACAAGGCCAGTTAGTTGGCCTGGCCTTGTCCAATTGTGCGAAATGCCGGGAGCAATGTGCACCAGTGTAGGTTGTTGGGAGAGCTGGTATTGGAGATTTTCTTGTTCGTGGCAGCCATTTTGGTCGGAAATCAGCCGGGCGGACCCAAAATTGCTGTACTGTAGTAGGCTGAAAGACTTTGTGCATCATGGGCATCGACATTGAGGCTGGTGGCCGGAAGAAGGTGAAGAAGCGTGAGGTGAAGTCCATGAACCCATATCTGCGGCTGCTGTGCCAACTTTACAAGTTCTTGGCACGACGTTCAGAGTCCAAGTTCAACAAGGTCATCTCCAAACGCTTGAACATGTCCAACAGAAACAGGCCTCCACTGTCATTGTCCAAGCTCATCAAGAACATGCAGAACAAGGAGGGCAAGATTGCCGTTGTCGTGGGCAAGATCACGGATGACAAGCGTGTTTACGACGTTCCTGAGTTGAAGGTTTGTGCGCTTGGGTTCACTGAGACAGCTCGTGCTCGCATCGTGAAGGCCGGTGGTGAATGCCTCACCTTTGATACCTTGGCCATGCGTTCTCCTTTGGGCAAAGGCACAGTGCTACTCCGTGGTCCAGTGAAGGCACGTGAGGCTGAGCGCCACTTCGGTAAGGCTCCAGGTGTTCCCAACTCCAAGACGGCACCCTATGTGCGCTCCAAGGGACGGAAGTTCGAGAAGGCCCGTGGTCGTCGTCGATCCCGCGGCTTCAAGGTCTGAGAGGCTTTCAGCACACCGAAAGCAAGGAAAGGCCGGCCTGCAAAAAGGACCCTGCAAAGCTCTGGACACTGTTTGTAAATTCTAGATCATTTGCTGCATGCTGCACTCGATTCTACTTGCTGTGAAGCTGTGATGCAGAGTGCCGCGACATTGCCACAAGCACGTAAGCCTAGCATGTGATGTATGCGCAATCATTTTCTGGCTCGAGCATTTTCTGGCTGGCTGCAGGTCTCCTCTGCCACCATGCGGCACCTATCAGGTCCCGCATGCGCATCCGTGCGGGACTCCAGGATGGGAGCCAAGGCCGCCAGGATGGACCACAGGTGCCAGAGCTCAAGAGCTTGGCATCATTGGGATTGCAGCCGTCTTTGTTGGAGGTGTAGTCTGCCTTGTCGCCATACTGGAAGAGCTGGAGTGAAGCACCGCAGAAGGCAACTGTGGTCTTGCGGAGACTGGCCAAGGAGAACATTACACTGGCCTTAATGGTCCTTAGTTGCATGAGATTGAGTAAGGTTGAGGCGAACATCAGACATTGGAACCCCATCATTTTTGAGTATTCACTAAGTGAGTGGCTGCGAAGTTTAGAGTTGCTTCTGTTGGCCACGAAGACCGCAGCTCAACC